CCCCCCACCCCCCTCGGGACAGGAGCTTTCTTTCTCTCAATAAATATATTCTGCTCATAACCTCCGTTTGTCCCTAAAATTCATTCTTCGGTTTTAGAGAACACAAAACTTGTGCAGGTCAAGTCCAGAGATCGTTTTTCTCTGTCATTTGGAGGTTCCCTACATTGTTTGGAGGTCACCCACCCGAGACCAGTTTTTCTCCCTGTATCATTTTGGAGTTTCCCACCGAGATCACTGGACAGAGATTCAAAGCTGTAATGAAAATGTGTGGTGTCGATTGAGGGCCTTTAGATAGAACCTCTGAAGAATATATCTGACTGCCGGTCAACAACTACGACCGGTTTCAGCTTGAAGCCAGAGCGGTCATCACCCATATTTCCCTCATGGCAGTTCGGGTTACTTCTTCAGAGGGGGGAGTGTTGTAGGCAGCCAAGTTAGATAGAAATATTATAGGCAGTAAGACAGGGCCAGGCCCTCAAGGACACAAGATGGAAGACAAGGTGACTTTGCAACTTGGAAGAGACAGACACTCCCATATGGGCCACACCGGAAGACCAAGACAAAGAGGAAGCACAGCTACATACTTCCCTAGGGATGGGCATTTGGGACTGATATGCTAAATAGTATTAATCAACTTGAAAGAGCCCAAATGAATCACTAGCCCAACCCCCAAAAGGAAAAGACCCTGTTCCGTATTTGCGCCCACTTGCTATGTGACTCACTTTCCCATTTATTACTGGATTTAATCAATTTTACCTCAGCAATGGTGCCTGTAATCTCATTGGTTGACAATAGTTTTGTCCCACCTCATGCCCAACTAAGCAAGTTACCATGTCTTCTCCACCACCTTAGACCCGCCTCACCACCTCACCACATGGTTTTCCTCTATAAAAGTCCCTGCAAGAGACAGCTTCCTGGGGGAGGGGGGGGGATTACCTGCTTGGGGTGGGGGGCTCCTGTCCCTCTCTCGGGACAGGAGCTTTCTTTCTCTCAATAAATATATTCTGCTCATTAAAAAAAAAAAAAATTCCTTCCAAATAAGAACAGTTTATTTTTTTTAGA